AAATGACGCGGAACAACATCATGTATCACCGCAAGATCGCAAACTAATCCCAGAAAATCCAAAAATAATTAAGCAACAGCGAGTTCCACAAGAGCAAGAACCATTACAAGTCCAATTGAAACAAATGCAACAAGAGCAAGATCCGAGTTCAATCAGGCTGCAAATACCAGAAATACAACAAGAACAAAGTCCTAAAGTCAAAGAAATGTCAACAGAGTTTAATAACCAGCGAGTAATACGAAAGCAAGAAACATTGCAAGTTCAATTGAAACAAATGCAACAAGAGCATCATTCGAGACCTATCAAAGTGCAAATACCAGAAGTACAACAAGAACAAAGTCCTAAAGTCAAAGAAATGTCAGCAGAGTATTGTCAACCACGAGTCATACAAAAACAGGAAATATTACAAGTTCAAATGAAGCAAGTAACACAGCAACAAGATCCGAGACCTAATAGTGTACAAAAGGCACAACGACACCGAGATCCAAGTCCCATCATGGTAGCACCTGATGTAAAACAACGTCAAGCTACACAAGAACAAGCAGCACAGCATCAAGATCTAAAACATATCAAAAAGCAAATACCAGAAATACCACGACAACCAAATCTTAAATTCAACGAAATGCCAGCAGAATTTGGTCAACAGCAAGATATACATGAGCACGTGCCACAACAGCAAGATTCAAGACCTAGTAGCATGGAAGAAGTACAACGACACCGAAGTGCAAGCCCTATCAGTGTAACGCCAGGTCCAGATGGAAAACAGCTACTAGATACCCCAGAGCACGCAGTACAAGAAGTGTTTAACATCTCGCAAGAACAACCACCGTCAAAGACTTCGCTAATACCATGGAAGCAAAAGGATAACATTATCAAAACAAATTCGACAAAAGGTCAAATATATGATGAAATACTAAGTCTTACCCAATCATTACCATTAACACAACTACCACAGCAAAAGGAAAAAACAATCCGCCTTCTAAAACAAGTAGGAGTATGTTACGAGTATCACGCATCGAAAAATCCACCTAGTATTCAAAGTCGACAGCAACAAGTGAAACATCGAAGTGTATTTCAACAAGACGATCACCACATCAAAGAGCAATACGACTTCTATAAAATATATAAGAGTCCAAAGCAACGTCACAGAAATCACGCTGGCAGGTAATGGTTCAGGGCAAATCACGTTTCTCGAAAGAAAGGAGGGAGTGTAACGGCCAAAATTTTGTCAACCAAAAATTTGATCGTTACAACGTCGTGGGTATAGCTGTCTACTAAACACAACACGACCACCTAACACACAACAAGTAACACTCACTCGAAGGTTCCTGTAATAAAAAAATTGTTAAATACTTACAAAAACATTAAGTTAAACCAACTCACCCCAATCCTCTGCCACCAACAACGTGACTTTGAATTTGACAAATCTTAAAATTGTATGGAAATCCTTGGTTAGTGCGTGAACAATTTTTGAATAAAACCATAACATAAGACACATATCTTGAGCTATCGTTGGGTGTTCTATTTTGCTGGAATTTTATTGGAAAATAAAATAATTTTAAAATAATTTTCTAATTAATAGAATTAAATACACACGTTCACCGGCACAACACGTTGTAAAAAAAAAAATAGAACAAAATCAAAACAAAACAACACGAGCTGTCAAACGAAGAAAGCTTTTGTGGAAAAGGTGTAGAACTAGGGCGAAGCTTAAAGAAAGAACAAGTTCCAGCTTCCACATGAGAGGGAAAAGTAGAATTCGCCCTAAAGCTAGACTTTCGCTGGTGCATTGCAGAGGGATCAGTTCACGAGCTTCGATCAACGGTCGTTGAACTTTAACGTACCAACAGCTGGCACCGTTGATCGTTGACGGTATAAAAGTTGCGTACACTTGGAAGAAGGTCTCTTGTCTGGTTATGTGCGGTCGTGAAAAGGAAAACTCCTGGCGTTAGCAGCAGCGAAATTTATTTAACTAAGACGGCGGTGATATTATCAAAAACAATTAAATAGTCTCAGAAATAGTGTAAAATCGTATCTATAAACAAAAGAATTATTTAAAAATTAAAAATTAAATTATTTGAACCAGTAGAGTTGTAACAATCGAAATTGAATTTTTAAAACTCTTGTTGATAAATTGTGAGTACGCATAAATTAAAATTTTGCACGAAAAGATTGTTTTAAGAAAGACAAACTGATTAAACTAGTAAATGTGTTAATATATAAAATTTAAAACTCTTATTGATAAATTGCGAGTACGTATAAATTGTAATTTTATATGTAAAAATTATTTTCAAGTAAGATAAACGGATTACATTAGTAAATGTGTTATTACATAAATTTAAAAAAATTTAAAACTCTTTTTGATAAATTGTAAAGACTTAAAGTAGAGTAAAGAGTACTTAATTTAAAAAAAAAAAATAAAATAAAACTAAATTTATATTTAGCTATTTATTTGATAATAAAATGAATATTAATAAATTTAATGAATAAAATAAAAAAACTAAACGAGCGAATAAATTGAAAAAAAAAGTGTTTTATTAAAATAAAAGCAAAACAGGTATAATAGCGAGGGCTCATAGGTATAACTACCGCTTTGATAGAGTTCAACACAAACTAGCTTCTCCTGATCGGTGTAAAATCAAGGTGGGAATCCAGCACAACGACACAAGTGAGAGACACAGGTAAGAAAGATTCAGGGCTTCAACAGTAACTGAATCTCGGTTGTACGGGGTATAACTCACGTAGCTTTAATAGTCACGTGAGTCTATACCATAGTGTCGGAAACGATAGGTAGCTTTAATAGTCACCTAACGTCTCCGGCCCCTGGGCGCTTTAACAGTGAACAGGGAAGGGCGTGTGATCAGCGACCTGTAATACCACTCACGTAGCTTTAACAGTCACGCGTGCTGGTATTATATCGTGTCTATTTCAGTCAAGTGATTCCTTTGTGTCTGTGATTCCGATTGGTATTCGAACCTAGGTATCTGTAATTAAGAGCAATCAGAAGTGACGGGGTCTCACTAAATAAATTTCTTGTGTGGACCTTGGAGACGGCTGAGTTCAACCCCAGCTTTAAACGAA